AGCTGGATGCAGTGCTAATACTGACCACTAGAGGGTACCAACCACACACTTTGCTCTCCTCTTTCCCTGAGCCTTGGGGCGGGGGCGGGGGCGGGGGGCTCCCCCAGGTCCCTGGGAGGACGAATCTACACTTGAGGTATTGTCCCAGGTCCTTGGACCTGCAGCAGGGATACAAACCAAGAAACAGAAATCCTGGGGACAGACACGGACCACAAGCGCTTCGTCCTATGCCCTGAAACCATCAGAGAATCTAAAAGTTGTAAGAGCTCTTGAAGGTTTGAGTCTCTTCCCCAGCTTTGGAACTCAGAACACATCAGGCCGAAAGATGCCCTGGATAAAAAAAAAAAAAAAAAGTCCTTTCTCCAGAGCAGGTAGTGTGGTGCTACTCAGTTATTTAGTTATTTTAGTTTCTTTATTTTATTTTATTTCTTTTTTGTGATGGAGTCTCATTCTGTCACCCAGGCTGGAGTGCAGTGGCATGATCTTGCCTCACTGCAACCTCCACCCCTGGGTTGAAATGATTCTCCCTCCTCAGCCTCCCTAGTAGCTGGGATTACAGGCTCCCACCACTATGCCGGGCTGTTTTGTACTTTTTTAATAGAGAGGGGGTTTCAGTATGTTGGCCAGGCTGGTCTCGAACTCTTGATTTTAGGTGATCCACCCTCCCTGGCCTCCCAAAATACTGAGATCACTGGCATGAGCCACCGCTCCCAACCCAGTAATTTCAGCTTCTAAATCCCTCTGAGTGCAGGGATCCTGCCCCCAACACAAGGGGCTCTTTGCCTCATTTTGTCTTTCCATAAGGGGCAGCTTGTTCTTTCTCTATTCCCAGGTGAGAATGGCCCAGTGGCATGGGGTGCCTTGTAGAAACCTCACAGCAGGACAAGGCGAAGGAAGAGAAGGCCAGGACTGAGCCTCCTGTCTCCTGGTGCCCAGAGTTGGGGCTATTTCAATACCATCTGGAGGTCACAAGCATCAGATGCCCCAGAGGTGAGAGCAGGAAAGAACATCCTCACGGGCACTGAAATCATCCCCCGCTGAGTTTAAGAGCATCTAGCACTTGACGCTATAGAAACAGAAGCAAGGAAGCAAGGAAACGCTTCTAGAAGTGGTTGGCTGTGGTGTTGGCAACCAACATTGAAAACCCACAGCCCTGTAGCCCAGGATGTGAATGCTGGGGCCCTGCCATCTCCCCCCTTTCGGAGCAGAAGACAGACCTCCTTTTTCTGCCGTCATTCCCGAAGCATTACCCGACCAGCAGCCCAGACTCATCATCTGCTGGGAGGGCCCTGGGCTGTGGGCTGTTCTCCAGGCAGGGCTGCAGGAGGGTCCAAGAGGGGTGTCATCAATGATACCAGTTCTGAGAAAGCTGGGGCCCAGGGAGGGTGGAGACACCTCTTTCTCCATTCTCCTTCCAGCACCAGCAAAGAGGAGGAGCCAGGTGGGAATGGAGGAGGGTCCCTGAGCTCCACTTAGCTTCTGCCTCCCCCACCATCCTTCCTCCAATGTGAATTGGGACAGACGGCGCCCCATGACAGGGTCTTTTAGCCAGTGTTGGGGACTTAGATGTGGATTTTCGGCCATGGAAGAAGTCTCCAGCCTCCCTTAGGAATGAGCCCTAGCAGGGGCCCTAACTGGGATCACTGCACAACTCCGCAGATAGGCACAGGGCTGGTGAGGCTCCCTAGACGGGTTACTGCCAGGAACACGTGGGAGCAGCCAGGGTACGGGAGTGTCTCCTGTCACCTCTCCACTTCTGTTGACCCCAGAGTTATGGTGACTCAGAGGACTCCAGGGAACCCTGGGGAAACAACTTTACAAAGGGTTACCATGGCAACCATGGACCAGAGGGAAGAACTGAGGCCCACAGGTGTGGGCAGAAGTCGGTGATCCTTTTCTGTAGTCTAGATCTTCCCAGGGCCTTGAGCAATGGAGACCACGTCCATCATTCATTGCTAGTAAAAAATCAACTTTGAATTAGACTTGAGATTTTCCTGACAGTCCCGGGAAGTGGCCCACTGTTGGGGCATCACTTGGGGCCAGATCCCTGGCTCCTGCAGGCTGAGAGACTACCCAACAAGAGCCTCCGCATGGCCAGTGGGGAGAGGCTGGGCTTCGCATCTCTGGTTTCAGCCTCAAAAGGCTCAGGATAGGCCAGACACTGTGGCTCACACCTGTAATCCCTCCACTTTGGGAGGCCGAGGTGGGTGGATCATGAGGTCAGGAGTTCAAGACCATCCTGGCCAAGATGGTGATATCCCGACTCTACTAAACAAACAAAATTAGCCGGGCATGGTGGCAGGCACCTGCAATCCCAGCTACTCAGGAGGCTGAGGCAGGGAATTGCTTGAACCCGCAACATGGAGGTTGCAGTGAGCTGAGATCACGCCACTGCACTCCAGCCTTGGTGACAGAGTGAGACTCTGTATCAAAAACAAAACAAAACAAGACAAAAAGCTCAGGATAATCTCACAATCATCTTGGTTCCTTTAAAGAACCTCCCTTTATAATTTAGGATTAATGAATTTCTCTGTGTGTTTGGAAGCCCTTCCTATGTCCAACCTTGACTAACTTTAGGGTTCTGTGTGCCTGCTGTGGAAAGTCGCAGATCTGCTGTTGATCCTAAAGTGGTGTCTTTCAGGCTTTGAGATCTCCTGTTAGGTTCAAGACTGTGGGGTTGAGGACAATCACATTTTTCGAAGCCATACTCACCGGGTCTTAGGGATCGCCTCCGAGGGACTGGTGGGCGCTCCTTCCACTCCCACTTTGGTGATTTGCGGCACACACTTCCCACCTGCAGCTCTGTTCTTTCTTCCTTGAGATCAGAGGCTGTTTATCGTACTGGGACATACTCTACCTCCTTTTGGCTTCTAATATCCTTTCTCTGAATTTGGTACCGAGTCAATTACTCAGCTCATTGGATTAAGGTCTTCAGGGAATATTATGTGGGGATTCCCAAGGGCTCTCCTAGGGGAGGTGAGGAAGATGATCAATACTTCTGCGTGTCCACCATGTGCTTGGGACTCTACTGAGCCATAGGGATGTGAGTGAGGATACTGAGGCTCAAAGAGATCAGGTGGCTTGCCTGGAGCTCTCCCACTATCCAAGGCCTATCCAAGGCCCCCAGGCTTTCCTTCCATGCCAAGATCTTTAGAAACCTCATCTAGTAAAGATGGTGGCACTACTAGGCATGGACAGAGCTTGCCTCAGTGCAAAGCTAGCAGGACAGGGGTCAAGTCCCTGCACAGAGGATGTTCCATGAAGATGGGGGGAATTGAACATGAGGAATTCAGCAGCAGAATGAGGTGTCTATAGGCATTAAGGAAAGTGGTAGAAAACAACCACCCAGTGTAGCTCGGTTTAGTGAACCGAGGCACATCATGCTGCCTATTTGTATTGCACGTTTCAGTGTACATCGTGTTTCACTTCCTGTATCTCGTTGGACCCTTAAGCTTGCCACATGATATGGCCGGGGGGTTCAGGCACGGAGAAAGGGCCTTGGAAGGCTTGGGGAGGAGAGGGGCAGGCACTGTTGTGTGTTGATGGGGTATTGTTTGCACTGGTTGATGATCTCTGAACAACCAAGAAGTACATAACGATCTACCTAACCGGACGTGCTAAGTAATTTCACTTTGGGGATGATTCTCCAGGGAGACAATCCATTGACAGAGAAGTGAAAAACATCGAGATGTGTCTAGTAGTTGTAGGAAGTCTGGGGTGCTTTCCTGATGGGGTGTCCTCAGCTGGAAATAGCCTCTCCTTCCTTTGACCTGTCCTGTGGCTATTTGCAGACATTTTATTCCTCTTACCAGACTGTAAGCTCTTTGAGGCTGGATTTCTTTTCTTTTCTTTTCTTTTTGTTTTTTGAGATGGAGTCTTGCTCTGTTGCCCAGGCTGGGGTGCAGTGGCACGATCTCAGCTCACTGCAAGCTCTACCGACCCCAGGTTCACGCCATTCTCCTGCCTCAGCCTCCTGAGTAGGTGGGACTATAGGCTGTCCGCCAGCACACCCGGTTAATATGTTGTATTTTTAGAGATGGGTTTTCACCGTGTTAGCCTGGATGGTCTTGAACTCCTGACCTTGTGATCCACCCGCCTCGGCCTTCTAAAGTACTGGGATTACAGGCGTGAGTCACTGTGCCCGGCCTGAGGCTGAATTTCTGCCTTTCGTCTATTCATTCTTTCACTCATTCTTCTATTCGTTCATTCACCGATTCCACAAGTAGTTGTTGTCTATAACATTTGCCAGAGATTGTACCAGGCAGATGGGCATATCTAGATAAACAAAAACACATGATCCTTTCTCTTCTGGAGCTAACAATCTACTGGCAGCAGAGATAATAGCAAACAAGTAAATATGTAACAATAAAATAGAAATTTGGAATTCGAAACATTCCCATGAGGTAAATAGGTAAGATATGGAGGGAGGGAATAAGCCAGAAGGTGACAAGACGAGGCAGCTGGCACAGCTCTAGGCCCCGGAATTCAACAAGCGTCTACTGAGTGGACCCAGCACATGAGAGGACAGTGCTAAGCAGAGAAGTCAAATGTCCACTGGGCTGGGCATGGCCAGGTCGCCCATGCTGTGTCTGGACGTCCTCCTGCTGGTATAATTATTTTAAAATGACAGGACAGGGAAGGGCGCCATGGCTCATGCCTGTAATCCCAGCAATTTGGGAGGCCAAGTTGGGCAGATCACCTGAGGTCAGGAGTTGGAGACCAGTTTGGCCAATATGGTGATACCCCGTCACTACCAAAAATACAAAAATTAGCTGAGCCTGGTCGCGCATGCCTGGATCCCAACTATTCGGGAGACTGAGGCAGGAGAATCGCTTGAACCCAGGAGGCAGAGGTTGCAGTGAGCTAAGATCGTGCCAGTGCACTTCAGCCTGGTTCCCAATAGACCCCGTGGGCCCTACAGGTCGTCTTCCCAACCTGCCCCTTGCTCCATATCACCACCCTCCTCCCCATAACATTATAGAAGGACACCTAGTCAGACAAAATGATGCAACTTAATTTTATTAGGACAAGGCTGTTGGACACTGGAGTGGCACCTTCCATGGCCAGGAGTGGCAATTGGGAGGGGTCACAAGGGATGCCACCCAGGCATCTAGAAGCCACAGCTGCCCTCCACAGCGCGGCACCGCACGGTGCGCAGGAATGTCTCGACCTTGTTCATGTCCTTCCTGAAGCAGTAGAGCAGCCTGTAGTTCTTGAGCAGTGTGTCATCGTTGTGCGAGTTTGTGTCAAACTTGCTGTAGGTCTGCTTGAAGATCTGCCCAGTCCGGGGGCTGCCGTCTTCCAGCCTCTGCAAAGTGAAGGAAGAGAAGGAGAGGCTGAGCGCTTGGTCACTGTTGCCTCCCTCCCGCTCTCATTCATTCGTTTTCCTCCCTCCCCTTCAGGGTGTAGAGAGAGGCCTGGAGGATTCACGAGAGGAAATGAAGACTAAGGTGAGTTCTCTTAGGTCAGAGCCTGACTGCTAAAAAGAGGGCAGCAGTTTCTCTCCCTCACCCCTCGAAGCCAGTGGGGTTCCAGGATTGGGAACCCCTGGGGTCACCCTCACCCCCATCAGCGTTTGGATGCCTTCCTCTAGGTTCTTTAGGTAGAGATAGACGTTGAAGTTCGAGGTGCCATACACCAGGTTGTTGGTAAACACACTCCTGAGGCACTGCACGGGCTCCAGCCACGACTGGATGAGCAGCAGGGAGATGTGGAGCAGCTCTAGGTTCTGCAGAGGAAGGACCAGCGGTTGCTGTGCTGCCCGGGGGCTCTGACCACAGGCCTCCCCCATCCCTGCCTGGGGGAGAAGGCATCCACTCACGGATTTCTGCTGTGTTTCCTCCTTGTTGGAGGGTGTCGGAATAGACTCTGAGAAGCAGAGAGAGGTCTGGGGGTTGCGCAGGAATGAATACTTCTGTTCCTTTGGGATATAGGCTTCTTCCTAGGAGAAGGACCACCCACTAAGGTCTACCCTGCAGACCAGCTCCCGTTGTTACTTTTCTAGGAACCTCACTCAGCGTACGCTCATCTGCCTGCATTTCTGCTTCAGAAAACAACCCTGAGCTCCTTATTCTCTCCCAGGACTTCCCAGCAAGGGAAAGTCACCCCTTCTTGCCACCCCTGATGTGCACCCATTCCCCAAGAGCTTACAAACTTCGGGTACGTGTCAGATGCCAGCTTGTGCAGGTGATGGGCGCGGAGCACAGCGGTGTTAAAAAGCCAGGATAAGGGAATGGTTGGGAAGGCACTGCCCTCTTGAAGCCAAGGTAGGCAGAGCAGGGCAATAGCCAGAATTAGGCATGTCCAGGAGCCTGGGGAGAAACCGGAGGGCAACAGAGGGAATGGAGAGCAAGATGCCAGTGCTGTCCCTGCTCCAGGAGCTGTTTTTTTTTCTCCCTCCCTCCAGGGACCAGGAACATTCTGAGATTGGCCAAATATCTGGGCTGAGATGCCCCTGTCCCATCTACAGGGCTCCGCCTCTCCCCTCAGGACACATCGTGCAGAAATGGATTTTAGGGGCGCTTACCTGCAGCCATTGCAGCTAGGTGAGCTGTCCGCAGGACTCTAAGTGTTTCAGGGAGTCGGGCCTTGGGATCCTGGAGCTGGTCTCTTGTGGGCCCTTTTTATACCCTGGCCCCTTATCTCTTGCTGCTTGACCCCACCTATTTCTCTGTACGTTTACGCATGGGGCCACTGATGTACCTGTGCTAATGGCTAATTTAGAAGCTCCTCCCACACATGCTGGGATCATGCCCCCTGGCTTGTCATCTTTCCCTTCTCACCGTTACCAGCATCGTAAGAGTTGTGCACAGAGTGTCGGCCAGAGATACCACCCAACTTGTCCTCTCTTTAAGGAGCAGGTGGGTGCCCTCTGGCAGCACATCATGGTGGCCAACCTGAACACGGGGAAGGATGTCAGGATAGCCAGTCCTCGAGACCCCTACAGACCCCATCCCACTCTCTATCCTATCCCTTTCCTCCTCCTCACATGTCTCCCCTCCACCCAGCAGAGAGAATGTGTGTGTTGCGAAAAGGCACCAAACACAGCCAATAGATTGTGGGGGTTCTGGGCAGGATTCAGTCCTGAATTCCACTTTTGCTGACTCCTCCTGGGCCCGCCTGAGGCAACTGGATGCAGTGCTAACACTGACCACTAGAGGGAACCAACCCCACACTTTGCTCTCCCCTTTCCCTGAGCCTGGGGCGGGCGGTGGTGGTGGGGGGGAGCTCCCCCAGGTCCCTGGGGATGAAGAACCCAGACTCATGGTATTGCCCCAGCTCCTTGGACCTGCAGCAGAGATGCAAACCAAGAAACAGATATCCCGGGGACAGACACGGACCACAAGCGCTTCCTCCCCTAGACCTGAAACCATCAGAGAATCGAAAAGTTGGAAGAGCTCTGGAAGGTTTGAGTGTCTTTCCCAGCTTTGGAACTCAGAACACATCAGGCCGAAATATGCCCTCTCCAGCCATGGAAGCCCCTCCTCTTTTTTCTCCCCCTCCTTTCCAGAGCTGTATAGAGCTTATCCAGTTGCCAAGGGCCTGCCTGTGCATTCTCACGTCAGACCTGCCACTTGTCTTGTGAAGGAGGTGTTATTATCATCCCGTTTCACAGGTCAAGACACTGAGGCTGAGAGAGACTGATTGCATGAGCTACCTCAGCCAGGGCAGCAGATCTCCACAACCTTGCTCTTCCCACATTGTGTTATTCAAAGTCCTTTCTCCGGGCCGGGCACGGTGGCTCATGCCTGTAATCCCAGCATTTTGGGAGGCTGAGGTGGGTGGATCACTTAAGGTCAGGAGTGCAAGACCAGACTGGCCACCATGGCAAAACTCCATCTCTCCTAAGAATACAAAAATTAGCTGGGCGTGGTGGCACAAGCCTGTAAAAGTGGGAGGCTGAGGCAGGAGACTCACTTGAACCCAGGAGGCAGAGGTTGCCGTGAGCCAAGATGGTGCCACTGCACTCCAGCCTGCGTGACAGAGCGAGTCTCCATCTCAAAACAGATTAAAAAAAAAAGTCCTTTCTCCAGAGCAGGTAGTATGGTGCTACTCAGTTATTTAGTTATTTTAGTTTCTTCATTTTATTTTTATTTTTATTTTTGAGATGGAGTATCATTCTGTTGCCCAGGCTGGAGTGCAGTAGCACAATCTTGCCTCACTGCAACCTCCACCTCCTGGGTTCAAGTGATTCTCCCTCCTCAACCTCCCTAGTAGCTGGGATTACAGGCACCCGCCACTATGCCAGGCTAAGTTTTGTACTTTTTTAGTAGAGATAGATTTCAGTATGTTGGCCAGGCTGGTCTCGAACTCTTGAGTTTAGATGATCCACCCTCCCTGGCCTCCCAAAATAGTGAGATGGCGCGAGCCACTGCTCCCAACCCAGTTATTTCAGCTTCTAAATCCCTCTGAGTGCAGGGATTCTGCCCACAACATAAGGGGCCTTTTGCCTCATTTCGTCTTTCCATAAGGGGCAAATTGTTCTTTCTCTATTCCCAGGTGAGAATGGCCCAGTGGCATGGGGTGCCTTGTAGAAACCTCACAGCAGGACAAGGCGAAGGCAGAGAAGGCCAGGACTGAGCCTCCTGTCTCCTGGTGCCCAGGGTTGGTGCTATTTCAATACCATCTGGAGGTCACAAGCATCAGATGCCTCCAGAGGTGAGAGCAGGAAAGAACATCCTCACGGGCACTGAAATCATCCCCCGCTGAGTTTAAGAGCATCTAGTACTTGACGCTGTAGAAACACGAGGAAGGAAACAAGGAAACACTTCTAGAAGTGGTTGGCTGTGGTGTTGGCAACCAGCAATGAAAACCCACAGCCCTGTGGCCCAGGATGTGAATACTGGGGCCCTGCCGTCTCCCGTCTTTCAGAGAGGAAGACAGACCTCCTTTTTCTGCCTTCATTCCTGAAGCATTACCCGACCAGGAGCCCAGACTCATCATCTGCTGGGAGGGCCCTGGGCTGTGGGCTGTTCTCCAGGCAGGGCTGCGGGAGGATCCAAGAGGGGTGTCATCAATGATACCAACTCTGAGAAAGATGGGGACAAGGGAGGGTGGAGACACCACTTTCCCCATGCTCCTTCCAGCAGCAGCAAAGAGGAGGAGCCAGGTGGGAATGGAGGAGAGTCCCTGAGCTCCATGTAGCTTCTGCCTCCCCCACCATCCTTCCTCCAATGTGAACTGGGACGGACAGATAGCACCCCGTGACAGGGCCTTTTAGCTAGTGCTGGGGACTTAGATGTGGGTTTTTGGCCATGGAAGAAGTCTCCAGCCTGCCTTAGGAATGAGGGCAGCAGGGGCCCTAACTGGGGATCACTCCAGAACTCCGTAGATGGGCACAGGGCTGGTGAGTTTCCTGAGACAGGTTACTGCCAGAAACACGTGGGACCAGCTAGGGCAGGGAGTGTCTCCTCTCTCCACTTCTGTTGACCTCAGAGTTATGGTGACTCAGAGTACTCTAGAGACCCCTGGGGAAACAACTTTACAAAGCGTTACCATGGCAACCATGGACCAGAGGGAAGAACTGAGGCCCACAGGTGTGGGCAGAAGTCGATGATCCTTTTCTCTAGTCTAGATCTTCCCAGGGCCTTAAGCAATGGAGACCATGTCCATCATTCATTGCTAGTAGAAAATCAACTTTGAATTAGACTTGGGATTTTCCTGACAGTCGTGGGGAGTGGCCCACTGTTGGGGCATCACCTGGGGCCAGATCCCTGGCTCCTGCAGGCTGAGAGACTACCCAATAAGAGCCTCCACATGGCCAGGCGGGAGAGACTGGGCTTCGCATCTCTGGCGTCTGCTTCAAAAGGCTCAGGATAGGCTGGGCGTGGTGGCTCACGCCTGTAATCCCAACAGTTTGGGAGGCCGACACAGGTGGATCACCTGAGGTAAGGAGTTTGAGACCAGCATCGCCATCATGGTGAAACCCATCTCTACTGAAAATAGAAAAATTAGCTGCTCATGGTGACGTGCGTCTGTAATTCTAGCTATTGGAGAGGCTGCGGCATGAGAATTGCTTGAACCCGAGAGGCAGAGGTTGCCATGAGCCAAGATCATGCCTCTGCACTCCAGCTGGGGCAACAGAGTGAGACTGACTTTGTCTCCAAAAAAAAAAGAAAAAAGAAAAAAAAGGTAGAAAAATCCTAATCTCTGAGGTCACCATTATCTAGCTCCTTACCCACTGAGAAGCACAGATGGGAAGCAGGAGCCCCAGGGCCACCATGGCTCGAGCAGCATTATCATTTAGTCGGAATCCATAAGAACACCCTAGGTTTCATCTGGGACTCCCTGCCCATGGGGAAGATGGGAAAGAAGAGTTGACTCAAAGCAGAGATCTGCTAGTGCTCCGTTAGTAAGGAAAGCTGTTGGGTGGAGGGGACCACATTTGGGTGAGGAGAGGGAGCAGGGTGTGAAGGTAGTGAGGGAGTGTGGTGCACCGAACTCAGCTCTTTGGGAAACCGTTTTTGCAGACAAGCCATGGTTAGAGGAATCCCGATGCTCTGGCAAACAGACCTGGCTGGAAGGGATGGAACACAGGCTTGCTTGTGTCCCAAAGGGAAACCCAGCTCCAGCCTTGGTGTGTACCTGGAATGGGGTGGTCTTTGACCTTGAAGTGCCACAGAAGGCAACCCAGAACCACACCAGAGCCTACTGCTGCACAGCCACTAACCAGCTGGGCTCTGTCAGCAAAGACATTGCTGTCATTGTTCAAGGTAAACTTTGCTGCTCTGCTGCCGGGCGGAGGATGGAAATCCCTCAGGGGTTTGGGATTCTTATCCAAGGATGAAAATAAGAAAGATTCTACTAGGTTGGGAAGAATGAGACTCAGAAGTGGGCCTGGTGGGCTGGGGTGGGTGATCCTCGTACTTTGTGACCTTCCTAACTCTGTCTTCTGTGCTTGGACAGGATTGGATGAAGGAATCAGCTCTGCCCTCTTTGTCGTTATTACCGTTGCCCTTGGAGTGGGTGTCATCACCATAGCACTGTATTTGAGCTATCGGCCCTGCAAAGTGGACGGGAGGAAATTGCTCTCTAGACAGAAAGAGGAGGACAAAGAGGAGAAAAGCCAGTTTACTGTTGAGGAAGAGAAAAGTACAACTCATATAATTGACAGCTATTTGATGGAATGAGACTTCTGCTACTGTGGTTTCCCAGGGAGGGAAGAAGGGATAGAGGAGAAAGGAAGAAACAGAATGGCAGGCTGCATTTCCCTTTGTATTCTTCTGTCTGTAAAACAGTGTTTCAGGCCCCCATGTCCCAGGTCCTGTGTGTCCAGTACGTCCACAAGCTCACCTTTCCCTCTATCTCTCTCCCCTCCTTTTTTTTCTCTTTTTGAGATGGAGTCTCACTGTTGTCACCTAGGCTGGAGTGCAATGATGCAGTCTCGGCTCACTGCAACTTCAGCCTCCCAGGTTCAGGTGATTCTCCTGCCTCAGCCTCCCCAGTAGCTGGGATTACAGGTGCACACCACCACGCCTGGCTGCCATTTCTTTATGGTTCCCACTGCCCTTTTCTCTTAAACGTCATGCTAAAGACAGGCACATCTTAGAAATGCAACTCATATGTCATGGTTTTCTGATTTCTAACTGGGAACTCAATTTGTAGTCCAGGGACAGGACTTTGAAGGGAGTAAGTATCAAATACGGGGCTAGGAGTCAGAGCTCTGTTCCCATCTCCACTTTCCATTGCTCCCTGACCTGGGCTTCTGGAGTGCCAGCTCCCAGAGCTGAGCTTGTTGACATCATTAAGGATCAGTGGCAAGCTTCAACTCAGTAACCATCTGTTGTGGGTCTTGGGGGAGTATACAGATGGTAAGAAATTCCACTTTGGGCCGGACAAGCATCCTATCTAGCCCAGTGTGCTGTCTGTGAAGTAGAAGGTAGAGTTCTTCCACGGAATTGGCGTCATAGGTTAAGCACTCCAAACATCTCTGAATTCCTTTTGACAGAGAGATCAACTGTGAGTTCACATTTGCCA